GAATTCCTATGAAGCTTTAAAAAAATGCTTTCTGAGCACTAGATTCAAACACCCACACAGTCTTATTCCTAAACGACAGCAATTTGACTGTCTATTTAACCTTTGACAAGTCAGATCACAGCAAATCCTCTGACCCGTGTGCTGCTACTGACTCACAGAGAGCAGGTGTCATTTATAGTTATGAACACCTCCAGTCTCTGATGATTTCAGCCACACAGTACCTTTATGGTATGAAAAGTCAAATGATCACAGACGTACAGAGAGCACAGTTTATAGATCTTATAAAGTTCACATATAAACATCATATGTAAACACTGATGACGCTTTGTTTCTTGACACTTTTAATATTAAATCCACACTGATTCACTCAGTCATAAGTCACAAGTGAAGCCTTACAAGTGACTCATTGAATCATTTGTTTAATAGCTTTGTTTAAAAATGCAGATTCATTTAGTAATGTAAAAGTCTTTATAAGCGAGTCATTGAATCATTTGGTTAGACAGTTGTTCAGGAAAAGCAGATTCATCCAGTAATGCAATAATTAAGTATTCATGAGTTAATCATTTGTTAAATAATTTCTCCAGTTGTGAAGTATCTGTTTCATCTGATCTTTCATTTAACAAAATAACAGAATAAATATGTTTTACACAGACTGCACCAATTCACATTTTGACTTTTCAGCATCTTATTTTAAGAGTCATAATTTGTTGATTTGTTCATATATGCTGATTCATCTAGTAATGAGTGAATTTCTTTTTCTGAGTGAGTTATGACTCATTTGTTCAAGACAATGGTTCAGAAAAAGCAAAATCATCCAGTACAGTGAAGTGTTTAAGCGAGTCATTGAATCATTTGTTCACAAAAATAATAAAGTTATCTTGAGCATATGAGTGAGTAATCTATTCGTTAGTTTCATTCATCTTTGGCTTAGTCTCTATTTCAGAGGTCGCCACAGCGGAATGAACCTCCAACTATTCCGGCATATGTTTTACACGGTGCAAGCCAGTAGTGGGATTGGGAAACACCCATACACTACAGCCAATTTAGTTTATGCAATTCACCTATACCCCATGTCTGTGGACAGTGCTATAGACTGAGCCACCATGCCGCCTTCATTAATTCACTCATTTAAATATGATAAATTAACTGTACACAGACATACGCACTTACATCTTATTATAACAGTCAATATTTCATAGATTTCATTGATTTGTTCTATAATGAACAGATTCACCCTGTAGTTTTTATTAAACCAGTCATTAAATCATTTGTTGAAGTGACTTTTTTAAAATCAGTCATCTATTCAGAATTGTAGAAGAATTATCTTAATTTTGCGGCTGAAAGGGCATCCGCTGCGTAAAACATGTGCTGGAATAGTTGGCAGTTCATTCCGATGTGGCGACCAGTGATAAATAAGCAGGGTTTCTGCAGGTTTCACCAAGTCAAATTTAAGACTTTTTAAGACCAAGAACTAAATTTTGGACTTATATAGGGCTAGACAAGGATTTTTTTATGACCCAGCAGAAAAACAATATATCTATTATTTATATATATATTTTCATAAGAAGCAGATCTTGGTTTTATACATCAATTTTTGTTCAACATAACTTAAAAAAAATCTTTAAAAACGAAATGTATGGCTCAGACTACAGTTTTAATATTAGTTATGAATAGTTTTGCTAAATGTTTTCTTGAGATGTGTTGTTGGTGATTGGATGCGATTTGTATCGATTGGGCAGCTTTACATAAACAAAGGAAAATTAACACCGTTTAAAATTATTTAAGACATACAAGACGAGATTTCAGTCAATTAAAGAGACTAATCCGAAGGAAAGTTCATTCAATTTTTTTGGCTTAGTCCCTTTATTCATCAGAGATCACGGCAGAGGAATGAACCGCCGACTTATCAATATGTTTTACACAGCGGATACCCTTGCAGCTACAACCCAATATTGGGAAACACCCATACACTTTCATTCACACACATACACTACAGCCGATTTAGTTTATTCATTTCCCCTATAGCGCATGTGTTTGGACTGTGGGGAAACCGGAGCACCCGGAGGAAATCAACATGGGGAGAACATGCAAACTCCACACAGAAACGTCAACTGACCCAGATGGGACTCAAACCAGCAACCTTCTTGCGGTTTGGCGACAGTGCTACCCCACTGAGCCACCATGTCACCCTCGGAATGAAAATGAATGATCTCAATTTCGAAAATAATATTTGCGCAGCTTCACTAGAGGTTGTGATTCAGTAATATTAAACACTGTTGATTTCTGTTTATTTATTTCAGGTCAGAGGAACCGGGAAAAGACTGGAGAGAGCAACTGTTGTGTGATCCTGTAAATGCGTCCCTTCATCCCTCTGAATGAGTGTGTCCCGTCACCCACCGCCCGAAGCTGCTTAAACAACTACTCACACCAGACTAGCAAGAGCCGGAGAGAAAAACACACACACGCAGATCTGAGATTCAAGCCAAAAGATGATCATCCAACCTGGAGAGCAGCATATAATAAAAGCGTCCCGCCTTCACACACACACACACACACACACACACACACACACACACACACACACACACACACACACACACACACACACACACACACACACACACACACACACACACTATCTCTAACACCTTCAAGAACTCATTGAAACACACCTTTTCTAACACCTCCATGAACTCACTGAAACACACACACACACACACACAGCTTCTTCTGCCGGTTTGCACATGGAGGAGGCCCTTGTTGATCAGTTTTTTATTGCACATAGTAAACATGAATGATTCAGTGAGGATGAAGAGACTCCAGGCCCTCCATTTCTTCCTCTCAGGAGGGAAGAATGAATTTACACAGGGTCTGATGAACTTTTCACGTTTAACAGCGCAACCGCTGCAGAGGAGATGCATGAAATACTAGCACACGCTTCACCGGCGGACTGTTCTGGTGAAGTGCTAAGCAGTGTCTGTCCAGGAGAACAAGTATTGATGTGCCTGATGATGAACGCTCGAGAAATGTTTCTGGTTTGGATGGCCCTTTTTAATCCTGGAGATTGCTGAAACGTTGATTTGCAGGAGGGCGGATCTCCGGACGTCTGCTTGGAAAGTCTAAATAACACGTAATGAATAACTAATAACATTTGCGACTGTGTTTTGACAGTCATCCAGTGTTTTCTTTAGATTGATCGGAGCTGCTCTCTTTTTTAGGAAGGGTCCGACTATCCCTTTATTTCCCCCTCCCAAGCGTAGTTGGTGTAAATTAATGCTTGCGTTTGGAGCCAGAAGAAATCTGTGGAATGAAGTTTGGCTTGGTTTCTATTTCTCCCTACTTTTTAGATATATATAAAAATTGTTTGCACAAGACAGAAACGTGAGCTGTTTCATTTCTAAATCGGTGTCAATTTTTTTCTTTCCCCTTGTTTTTCCAAATGGGAACCGTATTGGAAGGTTACATACGTGTAGAGTATATTTAATATGAATCTTATAGAGAACATAACTATAGATTGTTGATATATATTGGTGTCTAGTGTATGATAGTTTTAAACAGTTAGCACATTAGCATTCGGAGCAGTGAGACGCTGACTATGTCATGTACTTTAACAGCAGCAACCCCCTCTCTAATGGTTGAAGAAATTACTGTACCGTGTTTTTGTTATCATTATTTTTTTTTTAAATGTTCATAATTTGATATAATCTTCCTTTTCTTTGTATGTGGTCTTTGCTTTTCTGCTTTTTAACACCGCACTCGGTCTGAAAAATATTGGTCCTTATCAGGGTTTAAATCTGTACAGAGCTGAAGTTTTTAAAAAGATAATTGTAAATAAAACTAATGCTTCTCATTCTCTAAAATACAAATGGAAATACATCTATAAACTGAATAAAGAATCCAGATTATTCAAGTCAAGTGCTTGTGTTTGTCTTCTGATACTTCTGACTGACACACACACACACACACACACCAGCCACTTTACTAGGTACACCTTAATAGTCTCACGCAGTTGATGTGAATCTTCTATTCCATCACATCCTAAAGAGGCCTATTAGATTGAGTTCTGGTAACTGTGGAGGCCATTTGAGTACAGTGAACTCATTGCCATGTTCAAGAAACCAGTCTGAGGTGATTCATGCTTTACGACATATTATCCTTCTGGAAGTAGCCATTAGAAGATGAGTACAGTGTTGTCAGGTAGGCTGTGGCGTTGACACGATGCTCAATTGGTACTAATTGGTACAAAGTGTGCCAAGACAATATCCCCCACACCATTACATCACAAGCAGCCTGAACTGCTGATACTAGGCAGAATGGATCCATGTTTTCATGTTGTTGACACCAAATTCTGACCCTACCATCTGTCTTTGAACTTGTGGGGGGAAACAGGAGCACCCGGAAGAAACCTATGCAATGCAAACTCCACACATAAATGCCAACTGACCCAGTCGAGGCTTGAACCAGCGACCTTCCTGTTGGTAGGAAACATCGCTACCCACTACGCCACCGTACCGCCCCCAAATGTTTTTTTGAAGCATAAATATTTCAAAGCCCCTTAATAATCTAGGTTAAATGAATAAATAAACCATATATGCACAATTACACATACACATGTGCTTTATATTTTAAATATTATATGAGTTTAGCATGAATCAACCGCAAAAACAAATGGTTTATCCCCATGTACATTACGGTGTATATATATATACAAACCATATTTAAGGGACTTACAGAAGACACCCAATACAATACATGTTTTCATGTTGTTGACGCCAGGTTCTGACCCTACCATCTGAATGTCGCAGCAGAGATCGAGACCCATAAGACCAGGCAATGTTTTCCAATCTTCTATTGTCCAATTTTGGTGAGTCTGTGTGAATTGTAGCCTCAGTTTTCTGTTCTTAGCTGACAGGAGTGGCACCCGGTGTGGTCTTCTGCTGCTGTAGCCCATCTGCCTCAAGGTTGGACGTGTTACGTATTCAGATTCTGCAGACCTCGGTTGTAACGAGTGGTTATTTGAGTTATTGTTGCCTTTCTATCAGCTTAACCAGTCAGGCCATTCTCCTCTGACCTCTGGCATCAACAAGGCATTTACCAGACCTTTTTCAGACCATTCTCTGTAAAACCTAGAGATAATTGTGCGTGAAAATCCCAGTAGATCAGAAGTTTCTGAAATACTCAGACCAGCCTGTCTGACACCAACAACCATGCCACATTCAAAGTCACTTAAATCACCTTTCTTCCCCATTCTGATGCTCGGTTTGAACTGCAGCAGATCGTCTTCACCATGTCTACTTGCCTAAATGCATAGAGTTGCTGTCATGTGATTGGTTGATTAGAAATTTAACGAGCAGTTGGACAGGTGTACCTAATAAAGCGGCCAGTGTGTGTGTGTGTGTGTGTGTGTGTGTGTGTGTGTGTGTGTGTATAGTAATAAAATGAAGTTCACAGAATAAAAGAAAATGACATTTTTCCTAAAACAATATTGTCATTTAGAACTTTGTCTATGAATTAAAATATGCCAAGTTTTTTTGTTACTTTTATTGTAATTTTAGACAACATAATTGGCAATGTTTTAACTGCAAAGGAGTTTGATAAAATAACACTGATTTTCAGTGACAACATCAAAACTTTGAATTTTGACCAATTATCACTGTAGAAATTGAGGCTCTAAATGACAAAATTTAATAGAAACTTGAATGAATTTTCATCTGACCTTAAAACAAAAGTTAACACTTTACTCCAATCAACACCTAATAAATCCAGTAAATAATAATCATAATTAAAAAAGATTTTAACCGATGTCTTACATTTCAATTATAAAGAAATTAAAAGAAATAAGCAAAAAACAAAAACTTGTTTATCAAAATAATAATAAAAAAAAGATAAAAAATGCAGCAGCACAGTGTTCAATACTGATAATAAGTGCAGCATATTCGAACGATTTGTGGCACCAAAGTCTTGCTGACTTCAGCATTGTGTCACGAGAACAAATGACATTTGTGAAATATATTCAGATATTGTAATTTTTAACCGGTTTTGAACAGTGTTTTGATCAATTCAGCTTTTAAATATTTGGCAGCTTAGATATGCAGAGAACAGTGCATTCCTGAAAGATGTGATATTTTAATCATGAACGTTAGCTGATCTTTTTCTTAATAAATCATCACACCACAACCAGCCCCATAGTTCCTGATGTCAAATACTTTTTACTGCGAGCTTTCTGCGCCACCTTGTGGAAGAAATCATAGTTACACACATATTCACATTCACACACAAACTGAATACAATCCAATAAAATGTTTATCATCAATATAAATACGTATGTATTATTGTTAATATTATTAATTGTAGTTTATTTTCGTGTACAAATATCTCAATTAAAAGATATGCATAAAACTAAATGAATTATCGCCTTATTTAGTATGAACACATTTTATTTGCCACCACAGCGCCCTCTAGTGGAACTGAAGCGGTCATACAGACATTCACTTTTTGAGGACTGAATTTTGATTTAATCACAATATCAAGAAATATATTTAGGTTAACACAACGCGATTCATAATACGATTTTATAATGTTTTAAATAAAGATAATAACATTTAATGATCTTTTTAATTAGCCTACAAGATTAACCATGGTAACGTTAGGTGGCCAAAATAGCCTAACATGAGCTTACAGTAGTTATTAATCACACCTGCTTAATAATAACACTTTCTTTTTACGACATCCCTCACAGGTATAAAAAACGCGGGAGTCTATATAAAGAAACGGTTAAATCTGTATTTTGTTAGGTCTAACTATACATCACTATACTATCATAAACAAATAAATAATTTAAAAAAATGAGTGTGTTGACCTATCAGCCTTCATAACTACTGAGAACCAAATTTCTTTTCGACTCAGTCCCTTTATTAATAAGGGGTCGCTACAGCAGAATGAACTGCCAACTTATCCAGCATATGTTTTACACAGCGGATGCCCTTCCAGCTGCAACCCAGCACAGGGAAAGAACCAGATACATGTCAAATGTTATTTGGCCTTCACAAGTAGGCCTATAAAACAGAACAAATAAAAGGCCTTTGACAGCTCATTCAACACTACTTACTTCATTACTATGAGCATCAGCTAATACTGTATTACATTAATATTTTTTTGTCGCAGCTCTGCAGATTTTAGCTCCAACCACCTCCAACTGCTGCGGCCCTCCAGGGATAGAGTTTGAGACCCATGATTTAAACCTTTTTATAAATGAACGTCCAAAATTGAAGAGCGAAATATTATTGGCTGCAATATTTACACATGCTGTCCATGTCACTGAAATGAAAACAATCTTGCTTACATTTATGTATAGGCACTAGAAAGGACTGTCTTTGTAAGGTTTTCACAATAATAAATTCATTCCAGCATCCATACTGCACACAAAAAAACAGGGATCTTGATTAATAATTTTCTAATTAAAATATAGCAAATGTTTTTGCTATCTGAATATTCCATAGCCCCTTAATAAATAAGGTAAAATTATTAAACAAATCATATATTTAAAATAATTACATATATACACGTGCTTTATTTATTAAATATTACACAGAGAGCTCAGCATATATGAGTACACCCCTCATAAATCTCTCTTTTAAGTTCATATTTTTAAAAGGAAGCAATACAATATTATATTTGTGCATGTACATTAGATTAGTCAGTACTGAAGGCAAATCTAGAGCTAATCTAACAAAGTAACTTATGATAAAAGTCCAAAAACTAGTACACCCAAATTTATATGTTAAAAAACAATATTAAATACAAATCAATTTTTTTTTTACAAAAATTTAGTTGAAATTTTGAAGGTTTTTAATAATAATAATAATAATAATAATATATATATATATATATATATATATATATATATATATATATATATATATATATATAAAATTTATTTAATTTAATGTTTTTAAATATGATTGTTTTATATCTTATTATTTCTAAATGTTTGGTGACTAAATTATTAATGAAATGGTTTATACCCATGTACATTAGGGTGATGTCTCATTCATTAATTTAAAAAAGTATATATATACAAATAATATTTACAGGAACACAAGACACCCAACGCCACACAGTATAGTTACCAAATTAAATTTAAACCAACAAAATAATTTAAACCAACAATCATATAGAGAGATTGAAAGACGCAAAATAGTAATTAATGCCCATTTCAAATCCTTATACTTTGCCACTACTCTTGTGGTTTGTTTTACTCATTTGTCAACAAAAGGTTAATTATTTACGATAACATTTTGTATTATAACTTATTCTTTTTTCTGAGAATTTTGCTCTTTCTTTTTTAAAATGAAGATTTAGAGCTGCAATTTACTGTAAAAGTAGAATGGCCAAAGAAAGATGATCTTGTGTATCAAACCATTTACTGCAAGGCGTTTCATGTGCTTAATACATATTTAAAAGGACTAAAATATATGATCATGGACACCAACACTAGTCTTTATTTGCAGGGGTATCTTTTTGGCAATAGTCACAATTATCATTTTTTTATGCCAAAAATCATTAGAATATTAGGTAAAGCTTATGTTTCATGAAGATATTTTGATAATTTCGTACAGTAAATATTTAAAATTACACTGTTTTTTAGTAATATATATTGCTAGGAACGTCATTTTTACCAGAGATGCCCAAAGTAGGGCCCACGTGCCAAAGTTAGCCCATTATAGCCTTCCATTTGGCCAACCATCCCATCTGAGAGGACCGTGAGTACGACGGAGAGGGTTCAGGTCAATGCCTTTAATACAGAAATATTCATTTCTAGTTTGGCGTAACCTTTTTTGTTGATTTTATTGCTGAGCAACAAGTTCAAGTTCATTTATTTATAAAGCACATTTAAAAGCAGTCACAAGACTGAC